CAGCGGCAAAACTATATGGCCATAATGGCTTTCTTCAGGCCCGCACTGGGCGCGGTGGTGGCGTTGCCACTCTGGTGCGCCACTCTCTGCCGTGCGAGCGCCCGACGCTCCCTGGCACAGACCTCCTGGAGACCATTGCTGTCCGTGCATTTTCACAGGGCTGTCCCAGCATCTGCGTGGTGAATCTCTACAACCCTCCCACAGCAACCGTTCAAAGCTCTTCGTTTATTATTGCCATTCGTCGCTCAGGCCCCGCAGCGATTATCGCGGGTGAACTGAATTTACATCGTGAACTCTGGGACAGACACCTACCTTCAACGACTGGAGGAGAGGATTTGTCCTCTAATCTAATTGACATGATTTTGGGCTAGCAAATGACCCGGTGCAGGCAACACGGAGCACAAATCGTAATGTCTCGTCCCCTGACGTAGCTGCGTATCGCGTGCTGCGTGTCACCCACTGGCAATCCACCCCCTACATGGATTCCGACCACTGCTTAATATCTTACTCGGTGGGTTGGATGATGGCATTCCGCGACTAGCCAACACACTGCCTCGGCGGGAGAAAGCCACTTTTGCCCTGCGTAAGGCGGATTGGCCTGCTTTCATTTCGTTGTGTAAAACACTCCCTGCCGCCGCGTCCGCATGGTTGGACATTCGCAGTGGTATCTTGCGAGCAGCTGAGCGCCATATCCCGCGCGGCAGCCGTGACACCCCAAAACAATCTGGACAAACAAAATGGAACAAGCCGAGTCCGCCGCAGAAGCAGCACACACATCGCCTCACCCGGAGACAGCCTGCTTCGAGACGAATTCATCCAAAAAGTGGAGGAATAAAATCATGCCTTACGCCGTGGCTTCGTTATGCTTCTGGACGCCCGCGCGAAAAACTTGAGGCCTCATCCAGCCCAAGCTGGCGATATCTTCGCGGTGTGGCGGCGCCGCACCCTCATCCCCTGCAATCGGTGGTGCTCCGCACTGATCCTCGGACCGCGTCTGTGCTCTGCCTCGGCAACAGGCAAATCTGCTCGCCCATCATTTTGTGCGGGTTTAACGTGCCACATTACCCTATACTGCTGCTGCTGCTCGCCGCACTCCCTTGCTCCCTGGTGACTGGGAAATGGATCGACCTCTCACGCCGTATGAGCTTGACGTGGCCATCCGCGACTCTTCGCTCGGCTCAGCCCCTGGCCACGACAACATGTTGAATGAATTCCTGCACCGTCTCGGGCCCGTTGCGCGTGGCACTCTTAGAACAATGATCCACAACTCCTTCGCAAATGGCAGCCTGCCTGGCTCCTGGAATACGGTGGAAACTATTCCCATTCCAAACCTGGGAAGGGCCATGCCGCCCAGAGAGTTAGAGACCTATCAAATCACTCTCTGTTTTACTAAAATTAACCGAAAGAATGATTCATCGCCGTCTGTCAGCGTTATTGCCGCAACACCAACGTGAATTCGGATTTACACCCTCGCGTTCAACATCGGACGTGGTGACACTTGTTATTGGTAAAATTAACCGTGGATTGAGTGAGTTTGGCATTTTGGAGTATGAGCGCCCTGGAGGCGGCGCTCCCACATGCCACCCTCGTCACCATCGCTCGCTTCTGACCTTGATTGATTTTTCGACTGCTTTCGACACCGTTGACCATGGGAAATTATTCGGCATGCCTGACAGACTCCCGCGCCTTGGACCCCGAACGAAACGCTGGCTGCATAATTACCTGCGGGGCCGCCGTGTTAGGGTATGCACTCGCGAACAGCACTCCCGGAAACAACTCGCCTCAGCTGGAGCACCACAAGGCAGCGTCCCGGGACCCCAACTCTTCCTCCACTGTGTGGATGATCTGCTGCGCCGCCTGCACAACATCTATTCCGCCTCCGCTCTCATGTACGCTGACGCACTCGCACTTGTTGCCTCAGGTGCGGACATCCATGCATGTGCTGCGGCAACGCAACCTGCCCTGTCACCTATAACGACATGGGCTGCCGAGCACAGCCTAAAAATCAACGTTGATAAGAGTGAAGCCGCTCTATTCCACATCTCTTCACACACGGTCTGAAGAGGAAATGGTCGATCTCCTTCCTGGCAATGGGAACCTACGTATTCAGTCACACTCGGTGCGGTTACTGGACACCACGGTTGAACAACTTCTTAATTTTGATTACGCACGCTTCCACCGCTTCAAAGCGGACCATGCCACGCCGTTACCAATTACGCCTGGTCGCACAGACTGGTGCGTCCCATCACACCATGCAATCCTTTTTGATTGGATACGGTCATGGTGTGTCACTATATTATGGCGAGTCAATTCTCCCGTGCCTCGCCCACACCTGCCTCCATAATACGGAAGTACTGTACTGCGACAGTTGTACAACATCCCTTGGCATTAGCGCACCAACGGAGGATAAATCGGTATACTTGGAAGCTAATCTCCTTCGGCTCCGGAAGATACTCTGGCTCCGTGAAACCAATCAACACGAACGCCATGCACGTTTCCATAATCACGAGGATTTGCGCTCCCTTATATGCTCGGAACTTATGCCGTTGTCCATGCATAGGAAAGCGGCGACATCAATCCCGCTTCCGAGAGATTTCGTTATTAATGGATTAGAACGCGTATGTGGCACTATTGGGATACCACACAACCACAATCACGCTCCTCCTATTACACAACATCGAATTATTCCCTGGGACACTGTGAGTTGCAATAAAGTGGAATTTTATCAGCCACTCTTTGCCAACGATGCCTCTGAAGGTGTCAAGCGCACGGCTTTTAAATCCCTTTACTCCTCTCTAGGGGATTATGATTTTGAATTATGGACAGACGGTTCTTCACCCCTCGCCGAAGTCGCATCTGGATCCGCTGCACCATTATACGACACCACAAAGAGAAATGATCTCCCTGTGGAGGACCATCGTGCAGCAGCTGGCAGACTCGCATGCTCATAGAGAGCTGAGTGACTTGCCATTGAAAACGGCTTTAGACATCTCATAATTCCTCGTCTGGAAACATCCCAATCGTCCACACAAACCCCGGTGGCAACGGACTCCCTTTCGGCAATTGAGGCACTCCGCGTTGCCCCACTGACCGTGCAAGAATGCGTCGCTGAAGAAATTTGAATTATGCTGTTCTCCTTGATAAAGCGAAGTCACCCTGCAGACCTTATATTTTCCCCATCGCACTGCGGTATCCCACGCAATGAGGCCGCTGACAAAGAAGGCACGATTGCACGATCCCTCCAGCAATGAGGCATCCTAATCTGGCACGTGGAATTCCTTACCGCCGTCAAGAGGTTGTATTGTAAGCAAGTCCAGGAGGAAAGGAAGGCGCACACACCGCACGCCAGGCGCTCGTCGGTGCAACAAAAGATCGTTCCTAGTGTCCAGGCAGACATCGGGCATCGAATCAGGACTTTGTGCGCGGGTGCGATGCGACTCCTGCCCACTCCTCGAAATACCGGCACGCGCCCTGCACATCACAAGCAACCCTTTACGTCGGTGGTGCTGCCCCACTCACACTGAAGAGGCAGGACCGCCCGGACCTCCTCCGGAACCTCCACCTGGCGTGTCCACGGCACCTCCTCGTAGAACGACGAGCAGCGGATCAACGTCGCCCTGCCCAAGCTGCAGCAGCGTCTTCTCGTCCGTCCACAATATGAAGGCACACGCCCGACGCACTAACCCTGGCACTCCAATCGTTGCAGAAGGCCTCACACGTGGATTCTGCGACAGCTCCACGGTCTTCCCAACAAGTGCCTCACGCGCAGGTCACTACCGAAAATGTCAAGCGTATCAACGAGCAAAAAACGGACAACGCAACTCTGCAAGCTCCAATGACAGCCGTAGCCCTTCAGCCACTCCTCCGCTACTGCAACCCCACCAACCGCTGAGCCCCGACAATCCACGGGAGGACCTGCCGCACACGCTGTGGGAATGCCGCCGTCCTCGACAACTCAGCATCCGACTATTTGGGAACACACCCTCTCGCACGACAGCATCGTTCAAGACGGAAAAACTGGCCACATCGCCACGGACAGCCCGCAGTCCATTAACGAACAGTGGCAGCAAAGTATAACGAAACAAATACCTCCCTTTTCTCAGCATAGAAAAACGTCACCTTCACACTCGCAATTGCCACCAATGAATTCATTGCGCAATACCGCTCTGAGCTGCAATACTTCCTGGTACCATCCATGTCCCTTGTCGACACATTGATGCGGACGGGCGCCCATCCATTCCTCCCAATGACGGTGCATGTCTGCGACGCACCCTCATATCCAAAAGGCACGTCCCTCACCACAGCCGGGATCGACTTCGCCCTGTCCGCACGCATCGCTTTGTCAGAGGAGCAGGAATACGTCAGGCTGGCAGCAAAGCACCCGCCAGCACAACACAACACAAACAGAAGCACCAGCAGCACTGCAGACCGTAGGGTTAACGTGGATCAACCGACACATAACGTATTTCAAAGCAATCAATTGATGGCTTGACACGGATAAGAAAAACTCACATTCTCTCAGCAAAAAAGAAAAGAAAAAAACAAAAAAACGATTTAGGCGTCCGCAGTCAAAGCAGGCCACTAATCGAAAAGAGTGTAATGGGTGCTCTCAACCATAAAACAAGTAAAACAAAACAACAAAAAAAAAAGCGTGGGACGACCAGCGCACACACTCTCATTGCTCCCGCAAAGCAAAACACACACACATAGGGAGAGAGAGAGAGAGAGAGGTCGCCCACTCAATGCAATAAAAACAAAACAGAAACAGTTACGGTGCTCCGCCCATGCAGCCAGGCAGGACGGCAGCGGTGCGTGTCGTGCAAAAGAGAGCACCAACGGGCATGCATGGGTGTGCATTCATATATACAATGGGCACATTATGTGTGTGCTTCGTGGGGTGAGGTGAGGGCGAGAGTCCATGCAAGGGGACACACACACAGAGAGTGAGAGAGAAGGACGAGTGTGTGTGCGGGCGGTGCACGGCTCTCTCTCCCTCACTCTCACGCGGGCACCACCGCAGCCGCAGCCGCACACGCAACAAGAAGAAGAAGCAAAAGAGGGGAGGTGGTGTGGGAGACCGCGGTGCTGCCGTCACTGTTTTGTGTATTCGTCGTATCAGTTGTGTTGGCGGTTACTGTCGTTGCTTTTGTATCTTCCCCATTCCCTTCTGAGCCTTTGTCTCGGTGGCTTTGTGGTGCGGCTGCGGTCTCAGGCGACTGAACTTTTTTTTTACCGCCACTCGTAGTGTCTTCGCCATCCTGTTCGCGGGAATCAACATCGTCTTCTGGAGGTGGTGGAGGATTTCCTCCCGCAATTCCCACAGGCAGTGTGTGCTCTCCGTTACCTGTTGTGAGTGCGTTCTCTACTGCAGGTGTATTTTCGTCAGTCTCATCCTTTTTTTCTTCAACTTCCTTTTGCGTAGGATTGGCGTTTGGTTCCCGACTGCCGGAATGAGAAATGTCCCCTGCAGATACAATTGGCTGGTGATTTTTCCGCCTGCTTCCAATTAAATTCTTTTCCCCGGAATTTGGGTCTGATGTAACTGCCACTTCCTGATCACCTTGCCTTTCAGTTCTTTCTGCTTCATCTGTCCCTGCACCATCATCATCATTATCTTCATCTTCATCTTCTTCAACTTCATCCTCTGAAGGTGCGGGAGGTAATTCTTCTTTAAGACCTCCTGCTCCACGTCTTAAGTCTTGCGTGACTTGTGGAGGCGTTTCAAGTTCTTGTGATGACAGCGGAGATTCACCACCTATCCCAGAGCCTGCCGTGTCCTCCCCGTCAGATCTACCGCCGGCACCGCACCACAGCACGCAGAGGGCACACACCAGCAGCACACGGCCAGTCATCATCATCGCCATCACTCCTGTCAATTGCGTGCAGCCTTCAGCACAAACTAACTCCCCGTCAACACAGAGTGAGAGCAAAAAGAAGAGACACGGCACAGTAAAAAACACCAGTAGCACGCATTTCATGAGAAACATTAAACCAATAAAAGTAAAAAAACGCACAACGCTCTGTAATAATTTAACAAGAAGAAAAACACAAAAACAAGGAAAAAAAAACAAAAGTAAAAAAACAGCAATGAGAAAGAGATTGAAAACACACAAACCAAAAACCTCACCGAATGGCTCCAGTACGCATGCAAGCATCCACAGAAAAATGCATCTACGCAAACAGTTGTGGGCGTGTCGTGCATATGAGTGTGTCTGGGATGCGTGCCAAGTGACGGATACAGGGAGCAACAGCATGGAGCACAAAGCAGCGCAGCTGAAGCAAATGAAGCAAAACACACAATCATTATTTTCTCTTATTTATTACGCAATAAAACAAAAGAAGCTCAAAGCATCCCGTGGTTGAGTGCTGGCTTTAATAGCCCGCATACACTTCTTCAGCCCAGTGTCCCGTAGGTGAGTGCAGCCAGAACAAGCAGTGGCAGGGCATGCAGACGGGTTTCATGGAAGCAGGCGTCAGTTCCCACACTGTTCTCCAGCGCGTTCGTTGTGGGCGCAGAGGAAAGAGGAGCCGGCATGCTTGCCGCCATATTATTTCCTTCGCCGGAAGCAGTCTCGGTGGTGGTGTCGGCGGTGTCCTCTTCGGCGCCTCCAGCTGCACCCCCGTCCTCGCCGGTCTGGGACAACTGATTCGGTGGCGCAGCAGCAGTCTCTTCCTGCAGCTCCACTGGAGGTTCATGGGAGGAGTGGTCGCCGCCTTCTGTGGGCTTTGGATCTGGTGGGGATTCGGATGCAGCAGAAGCAGCAGAAGTAGAATGTGAATGGCCTTGAAGCTCACCAGAGGGAGCAGAATCCGACGCTTGCGAGGCCGCAGCAGAAGGATCCGTCGTGGCCGCAGCGCCAGCAGCAGAGTTAGCACCAGCGCCACCTGGAGTTGCAGGTAGAGAAGAAGGGGGGACATCCGTGGAATTCTTAACGACAGCAGGAGGAGATTTTGAATTTGTTTTGGAGGTGTCACGAGAAGCCTCCTCTTGTCGAGCCGCCGGAATGCCTGCTTCCGGACGTGTGGCCGGAACACTTTCACCAGCGCCACCCGGAGCTCCAGCCAGTGAAGGGGCACCAGCCGCACTCTCAGCGTCAGCAGGAGGTTCCGAATCTGGTGTGGAGGTGTCACGAGAATCATTGTCATCTGGAGAGCCCGGAGGTCCTTCCGGAGGTTTTGCCGGAACAAGTGCAACGGTGACCGCCTTCGACTCAACGTTACGCTGCCACCAACTATTCACCGCGCTTGGAGTGGGCGATGTGACGTTGATTGTGAAGACACCACCGTTCGCAACTCCTTTGGTGCGCCTCTCAACATCCTCGGGCTCACAGTTTCCGACGCCCATGCCGCAAATCATCTGCCCAAAACCAGCAGCTGCAGTCGTGCAGTCATACCACAATGACTTCCCACGGAGTTGCCAGCGCCCGAGTTTGTCCTTACCCGCACACACCGCATCCACCTGCGTTACCTGCGGCTCCCCTTCCTTCGCGGCAAACACGCACGAGCAGCAGCACAGCAGTGCCAGCACCAACACGACACAAAACACACGGCACATCATCGTCAAAACTTTCGTTTTTGAATAACGTGGATTCGATCTGCAGGAGCATGAGAAAGGAATTAGAGAGAGACAGCAGCTACACCACGCACAGCCACCGCATGGTAATAAATGGCAGCAGCCAGAAGAAGCGCACACCAAAAAAGACAGATGGAATCATCACAACTGCAGAACTCCCACACCGACCCGCAAACCAAAACTTAAAAGTCAAAGAAGAAACAAAAAAAGGAAAAAAAAATGATAGGAGTCCAACAGAACTCCCAAAACTTTTAAAACCATCAATCGGGCAGCACTCTTATTTCTTATGCCAAGCAGCACAAGACAACCGTATGTGTCTGTGTACATAATGCCTTCACCAAGAAAAGAAATCAAATAAAAAAGATCGTCTTGTTCCACCAGCCCACACAACATTCCTTCACACTTCATTGCGGCATCCGGCCTGTTCCTCCAATCCTCCTTTCGTGCAGTCCGTGGGACGCACAGCAATGAGGCCGGCACCGCGTGTGGGCAACAAAAAATAAAAACAAGTAGAGGAAATAAGTCACACATGACAGTGTGCAGCAACCGACCATTGAATAAGGGAACAGCAACGATACGTATTATTCCAGGAAAACAACAAAACAAACAGTAAAACCTGACTAATAAAAGAAAACCCGCAGGGAACGCAGCACATGTTCTCCGTGAGGAGTCGCAATTCCACACTCTTCGGCTCAGAAGTCCGCCACAAATCCACACAATCCCAGAAGCAGCAGCAACACCCAATACACGCACACACGCACAGTGCTGTCAACAGTTAACTCTCGCAGTGTCAATTTCGCGCCGTTGAGCAGGGCAAAGCAGTCGTCGGGACACACACCGCTCCCGGAATACTGCGCGGTGAATTCTCGTCATTGGGGTTTGTTATCGTGTCCAGAGGCATTGCGTTGACTCAATCCGTACGCATCACCCTCAGCAACAAATCCACTGCCTGCAACGCCATTCTCTAAAAAGAGAGATTTGTGTCCGGTGGCGTCGTGCTCACTCACCTCGTCCGTGTTATCCGCAGCAACGTGTCCCCTACCGCCATAGGTGACAGAAATGATCTCGGATGCATTCGACGCCACTAATATTCTCGGACCGTTGGCAAAGGAAGGCCTCTTCTTGGACGTATTCGGGACCATCATTTCGTTCGGATTGCTGGCAAACTCAGGCTTTTTCTCGGACGTGTTGGTCGCCGTGTTGGATGCGGGACTCGGATCGACGGTGTTCGGTGCGTCAGCCGCCGCAGACTGTCGCCAATCCTCGTGTTGACGTGACGGCTCAGCATTAACTTGCGGCGCAGTTGTCCCACCAGATTTTGTGTCATCCTTCCCTTCACGGGGTGGCGGCAACTGACGGATGCCCGTCTGGTCAGCATCGCTGCTCCGTGCAGGCGGATGGATGGTTCCATCGGGAGAAAATTGACGCCACCGCAATTCATGAGGGCCGGCGTATTTATGTGTCGTCACATTCATCGTGAAGGCAACGGTGGCCCCTTCCCCTTTCCTTGCACAGCTGGCAGCACAGTTGCTACATGTGTGCACCGCATTGGCCACATTAAACACAGCACCCAGCTCACCATTCCTGCCATGCATGCGCACATCAAAGCCACTGAAAGTATAATTCTCATGCTGAGCCTCAGCACTGGCAGCAGAACACTTCTTCCACACGCACACACACACACCCACGCGATAGCTCAGGCTGCCATCAGTCGGAGCATACGACACATCCACCGGCAAAACCACCGCATCCGCAGGAAAGGAGACTCGGGCTGCGCACTCCCTCCTCCTTCCTTCTCTTCATGGCCACGGAAGAAGAGAACAGGCGCCACCCGCAACCGCCAGCACACGCTGCAAAAGAAGCATCCAAATCGAATGAAATGTGCATTTTGTGTGTGCATGTGGTTGTGTGTGTGCCTGCAGACACACGAAGCAAAGAAGCAAAAACAGGAGCGGAGCATGTGAAGGGACGCACAAACAAAAACGTACAGCAGAGGTGCATGGCAGAAGTAAAGAGAAAAAGACTGCTCAGGCTCACAATATTGCACTGCAGTCCAAGCAGCGGCAATTCATTAAAAAAATTAATAAAAATAAATAATAATAAATTCATCTTCACCTTTCCACACCTCACACTTTGGAAAAAAGAGAAAAAAAAGAAAAAAAAAGAAAAAAATTGAAAAAAGTCGTCCTCTATTACGGCTACACCCAAATAAAAAGAAAAAGAAAAAGAAAAAAAGAAAAACACACACAAAAAGCACCCAACTACCGTGCTGCTCCAGAGATTTTCTGCATACATTTTGTCCGAAGATAAAATTAAAAGATATTTAAATGTCTTTCAACCGTCTGGCCCTCTGCGTGTCCGCACATCGTTTATATTTCATGGGTCATCTGGGTGTTGCTGCTCCCCTCAGCCCCTTTCATCGGCGCGTGAGTGCAGCCCGCAGAGCTCAGTCACTCGTGTGTGGGGTGAGACTGAGAGAAGCACGCAGAAATGACGGCAGTCGCGTCACTCCATCGGGAGAGTGAGCGCAACAAAAGAAAAAAACATCAGGAGGGGAAAAGAAATGCTCACGAGGCCGACACCGAAGGGACTGCCGGCGCGTAAAATGCACACGCAAAGCAAAAAATCTTAAAAACACGGCGGCAGGGTGTGGCTGTGTGTGTGTGGCGCTGCGGGTGTCTGCCCGCCCTGGCCGCAAAGAAAGCAAAACAAGAGGGAAAGAAATGTGTGCTCCGCCCCACAGGCCCTCGTCGCACGCCCACACGTCACGGCTCCCTCAGCGCGCCGTTCGTCGCGGCCCCTCCTCATGCGTGCAGCAGGCGAGGCGCACAGGGCCGTCGTCATGAGCGTGTCGGTGGGTGTGCGAGTGGAGCAGTTGGGCGGGAAACACACGGCACCCCTCATAGGAAGAGTGCAGAAGAAACAATTAAAAGAGGGAAGAGTAGAAAAGAAAAAAACTTCCATAGTGATTGCCCCCAAAAGCAAAAAAGAAGGAATGAGAGATTAGAAAAAAAACATGCACAAAAAATTTAAAAAAACATAAAAGTTTTCCTTTACGGGGAGTAATCCACTACCAGGGGTGTGTGCGTCGGTGGTGGGGAAGGGCTGAGGTGTTCCACGCAGAGGCCACACACACCTCAAGAAGCGGCAATACCCCACAATCCAAGCAGAAGGAGCAGCGGCAGCAGTCCGCCTCCGCAAACAGTGCTCCCATCACCATGTGCCCCAAAGTGGCGAGCGGTACCGACACCCGTTGCTCCTGCCGCCAATGTTTTCAGGCCTGTCAGCTTT